GTATTATAACTCATTAATACTAAACACTTTATAGTCTCTACCACAAACATTTAAATTAAGAAAAAATCATAAAATTATAAATAATAGTAAGTTGATTAACAATATTAAACTTAAAATATTTATATTTCTTAGAAAATAAAGTTTTAATTTTACAATCATCTTGAAACATTATCAAGAAGTTTAAGCTTCTTTTTTTTTCAATGATGAAATTGCTCTTCCAAGAACATCTTTCACTAAATTATTATGTTTATATCCGAACATCACATCTTTAATATTTTTAGTTGCATTATTATTTAATTTATGATACTTGATAATTAGATAAACACACATAATTTCTAGAGAAAGAAGAAGAAATAATGATGAGTAAACACTTAGAATAAATTTAAAACCATTTGAGTAATGGAAAGGAGATTGAAGAGTATGAAATGAAAAGAGTTACAAATAAAAAAAAATTAATTAAGAATAATAAATACAATATTTTTAAAAATAATAATAATAAAATAAAGCTAACGAGTCAACCTGTCAACTCACGGGTTGACCCTAACTAGACTCGTGACCAGTACGGGTTATTTATAGGTTACAGGTTGAGATATGTGGACTTTTACTTGTTTTATGGGTTGGGTTAGGTTAGGATCCGATTAGCGGATCAAATGGATTTTTGCCACCCTTAAATATAATTTAGATTATAAAAATATTTAAAAAAAAAAAAAAAAAAACTTCACATGTTTCTTAGTACTAAGAATACTCCTAAATCACTCATTATTATCTTTAAAAGGTTGATCAATTAATTAATTTGTCAAGTTAGGCCGAATTCTATTAAGTCGATCCTTTTGAACATTGTTTGATTTTCTAAAAATTACTACTCCCCTGTGCTAAAGCTAAGAAAAAGATGCTTTCCCTTATAGGGGGAAAAAAAAAAGATGTTTTCTAGGAGTGGTTGTACATTGGACTATCGGATTAACACTTTTAGAGCAAAGGAATGCTAAAAGCAGTACTCTTAATTAATTGGCCTTGGTGAGACTGAGTCATCAATTAATTAATATTCGGACTCCTTGAGCTGGGAAGCGCTGACCTTGTGCCCCGATTAGCATTAGCTTCTTTGGTTGGGACTCCCATGAATTCTTCGTTATTTTTTTTAAATAAATTCTTTTATTAGAATATGACTAGCGAGTGTAAAATCTTTCAATACAAATGTGAGTGTTACATTGTATAAATGTGACCAACAAATGAGAACAAACCTTAATGCAAAGATGAACCCTTAACTTTAATGGTTATAATTTTTATAATTTTTGGGTTCAATGATTCGTCATCAAGTTTTAAGTGTTTAGATGTAATTGGTCGGGAGTTTGCCTCCCACCAATGAGTTAAAAAAAGTTTCCCCATCTCCAAATTTCTTAAGAGTAATGATGGGTGAGACGAAATAGGGAGCGAATTTGGGGGACGACAAGTGATGGGGGATTTATGAATGTGGTGTAATTATTAATTTGATCCCTCCCATCACTTGTCGTCCCCCAAATTCGCCTCTCGATTTTGTTTCCCCTATCATTACTCATTTCCTAATGTTCAAAAAATAAAAACAGGGGGTAAAACTACAAACTCAAAAGTGTATATATATATATATATAGTGAGATTTACTTATATCAAAATATAGTGAGATTTTTGAAACTAATTGAATAGATTGATACTAAATTATAAAGCTTAACAATAAGGTTTATCCTCTTTTAATTTTTTTTGAACGAGGGCAATTAATACATATTTTAAATATATGAGGACTAAGGAAAGGAGATTCTATGAGATTTGAAAATGAAACTCATTTATCCTCTTTTAATTTTTTTTTAATGAGGGCAATTAATTTATATTTTAAGTATATGGGAATTGAAGAAAGGGGATCACATAAGATTCAAAGATATAACTCATGAGATGTGATCCTCACTAATTAATGGTTTTAACCACTAAGAGCGTGGATGTATCCTCCTCAAATTTTGTTTTATTTTATGTGTGTAATCAAATAAAAGCATGCACATGAATGTTAGGTGTCCCACATTCCATAACCTAATGGTGTCAATGGAGCTCTCATTTGAAAAAAAAAGAAGAAGAAGGCAAAACTGCCTGTTAAGCCCCTCAACTAAATCTCATATTCTTAATAAAGTTTTTAGACCTTTTTTTAAAGTAATAAGTCCTTGAACCTTACAATCTGTGTAATTTTGCCTTCTTTTATATCGTTCTTTGTTTTTAACTTTGCAGATCGCCATTAAGAAGAGGGTGACATTGCACAGATCATGAGGTTCAAGGGCTTATTAGCTTAAAAAAGTTAGAGGGCTCAATGGAGAATATAGGGTTAGTTAAGGAGCTTAATCGAATTGGTTTGCCCAAAAACGAAACGAAAATCTGCAGGAATACCGCACGCGGACGCTGACGCTGACGCTGACGCAGAGGCTGCTTTTCTTTCTGAGCTGTGTCCACGCCCATACGCTGCTTCCCAAAGTCTGCAAACTCCGCTCATCGACTTGTCCCGAATATCGCCATCCTTAGATCTAGCAAGAAATAATCTTTTTTTTCTCCGTCGTAAAGTTAGAGAATGCACCGGATGAGTTTACTTCGGTAACGTACTTAGGGTGCGTTTAGTGTAGCTTAACAAATGTTTGAAAATTTTAATATTATTTATATTT